CAAGGAGGCGCGCCGTTTTTGCTTTCTACTCGCCGAATTTCAGCTTGTCGATGCTGGGGTGCCGAACGTCATCCATGTGGACAACTCATATGCTATTGCGGTTGCGGAAGGGATGGGGGGAGTCTTAAGCACATGGAGAGGCGGTACATCTGGCTGCAGCAGATGGTGAAGCGCAAGAAAAACGCTCTTATATATGTCCTGACGAGCGAGCAGCCCGCAGACTATCTTACAAAGGCGCTGCATTCCCCAGCATTTAAGCGCTGCTCTGTCACTGTTGGGCAAGTCGATCTTGCTGACGACGAGCGTGACAACGAGCAGAAATAGGTGCCATGTCCTTCAAAGTGCCTGGGACGGTAAGTATGCGTGTGCGAAAACACGCGAACAAGTATCAGGATCGTCACCCTATTGTAGACTATTATTCCCTTTCGTGTTTTGTTGTGTGCTAACTTCTCAGATGCCCAGGGCAGGGAAGTGTTGAGGCTAAGCCCTGGATGCGCCTGGTTTTGCGTGTAGCAGCTCTATGCGAAGTAGCGAGATTTTGCATACCGCATAGCGAAGCTTCGGTACACTCCAATTCGTGCATCTCAGTATGCACAGTTCTACATTGGACCAGATTGGAGGGAAGTGACAACATTGCACAAACGAGTATGTGCAAGTGTCAGTGTTGAGAGAACCTGTGCAAATACTTCGGGGCAGGTAGAAATACACCTGATGGTGGTTTCACCTGATGGTATTTTCACGTGGCGATGCCAACCAGGAACCGCATACTAGAGTAGGTGCTTGCACGTTCTCCTTGAACAACGTTCTCGTAGAATGTTCTTGCACACGTCACTATGTTTCTCTATAAGGTTCATGTTGAATCTGTTGTAATCAATAAATTTCGTTCCTTTCATTACTTCATACCAAATTTGGCATCAGTATTCGGTTTCCAACAAGTTCGTATTTGGTGGTCAAGCATCCGCTTTGCAAATCTGCACCTAGCCTCTCCCACAATCGCCTATTCTCCGCATTTTCATCATCGCACCATGGCCAAGCGTGCTCCTAAGGATGTTGGCCTCCTGAAGTCGCCATTGCTCCCGCCACTTCTGCCACGTTCGCCGATAAAGATGCCGTCATTTAAGCCGTCTTCTGGTCTTCTGCCGTCTTCCGTTCGCCGAAATAGCAGAAGTGTTGGGACAAGGAGTACCCGCCGACGCGGCCCAGCTAGGATCCAAAGCACACCGACCAAGGAGGTACTGGCAGAATGGGATGTCGACAGCAGCGCTGAGGCATTCGCTGGCCTAGATGCAACGGCCTGAGCCACGCCTTGTGAGCGACATCTTGGAGCCAAACCGCATGCCGTCCCCAATCACGTGGCACGATAATCCATCTCAGTACCAATTGAACGAACCCAGAAAACCGTGGCAAGCGCTGCCGACCCTGGGAAGGGCCATGGACGTGAATGTGATGACGTGGCTGCTCGAGACCATACGCATGCACCTGAAGGCGAAAGAGCTGCAACGGGACATCTCGGTCAGTGAACGCAACATGGAGTTCAAGTTGGCCGAGTGGCACAAGGCACTGGCCAGGATGGAGGAGAGGTACGAGGAGAGAGTGGAAGAAGGATGGGCGTACATGGCAATGGAGGGGATGGAGGGAGGGTCCGATGGAGAAGCATCTATGGGAGAGGAGAAGCCGGGGAAGGAGGAAAGGGGCCCCGAAGACGACTGGACCCTAGGTGAAGGGATAGACGGTGCAGCGGCGGCAGCCCTGCAAGAGGTACTGCGACAACACCACGACACTTCTGCCTACACACTACAGGAGCTGGGAAAGTGCAAGACGCACGAGATGAAGATCGAGCTCAACAGCGAGGTCTCGATATACCACAGGAAGCGGAGGATGAGCAAGGGAGACATGGATATCTACATGGAGAAATGCAACGAACTGCTGGAGGCAGTGATTCAGCATTCCGAGTGCGATTATGCGGTGACGACAGTAGTGGATTCCAGGAAGGATTCGATAGGGGAAGTATCAGCGAGGAGGATGTGTGGAGACTACAGAGGCTTGAACAAGGTTATTGTGGCCGACCGATACCCCAGGCAGTCACCCGAATAGATATTCGACAAACTACAGGGGGCGAAGGTGTTCTCGACCTTGGACCTACGCCAAGGGTTCAACCAGATCCCTATACGGCCGGCCGACCGTAAGAAAACCACGTTTCATGGGCCGGATTGCTTGTACGAATGGCGTTTTATGCCGTTTGGGACAAAGAACGCGCCGGCGCTGTTCCAATGCATCATGGACACGGTGCTACGCGGGGTACCAGCAGCGGCGTGCTACATAGACGACGTCATAGTTTTCAGCCTAGACGCAGAGCAGCATGTGAAGGATGTGAAAGAGACGCTGGATGCTACTCAGAAAGCCGGCCTCACCTATCACCCGAAGAAGTGCAGTTTTGGTAACACAGGGGTGAAATAATTGGGGTTCGAGGTACAAGGGGGGAGGCTGGGAATCCAGCAAGCGAAGGTGGAAATTCTGGACCGGGTACTGCAGCCGAAGGACAGGAGCACTATGAGGGCGGTGCTGGGGTTCCATAACATTTACCAAAAATTCATACCGAGCTTCAGTAAGACTGCAGTGGTCCTGAACAGGTTGCTGAAGGAGGACCAGAAGTGGCAGTGGAAGGAAGCATAACAAGAAGCTCCGAAGGCTTTGCCGAGAGCAGTGAAGACCGCCACTCTTTTTGCGCTGCCTCGTTCGTACTCTATACGGATTGGATCAGCGCAGGGATGAGGGCAATTCTGTGCCAAAAGCGAGAAGGTGAGGAGAAGGTGGTGGCATTCGCCAGTCGGAGCTGCAATCCAGCCTAGGCGATTTACAGCTCCTACGAAGGGGAAGGACTGGTAGCCGTGTGGGCGATTACGCACTTCTGAGTGTACCTGCAAGGGAGGCCTTTTGAGCCAGTGACATATCACCAGCCGTTAACCTGGCTGATGACGAATCAGGCGCTGACAGGGAGGAATGCCCGCTGGGCAATGCGGCTACAAGAATATGACTTCACGATTTGGCACCAAGCAGGCAGGACCATGTAGCACGTCGACGGTCTCTCACGGAACCCACCAGAGGACAGACCTACAGCATGCGTAGTAGCACTGGCAAGAGAAATAGACACGGAGGGAGCCAGTCGAGCACGGGGGAAGGGGCCGGAAGACGTCTGGGACGATCAAGAGGTCTTGGACTGGGTGCAAGGAAAAACCACGGAGACAACTCCCGTGAGTGAGAGGGCCAGAGCGCGAGGGGCCCATTACTGTTGGCACCAAGAGCAGCTGTAGAAGAACACGCGCAATGGGTGAAAGTTAGTGCCGCGGAAGGACGAGCGGGAGCAGATTATACAGAGCGTCCACAGGCAATTGGGGCACTACGGGAGCTTGAGGACCGCACAACTGGTAGAGAATGGATGGTGGTGGGATGGAATGAGGAAGGATATCAGAGAGTGGGTGGAAGGATGTGAGCTCTGTCGCTGGAACCGAGCTGAGCTGGAACGGGTCGGGAAGGAGCTGCAGTCGCTGCCCATAAATGGGATCGGGTTCAGGTGGTCCTTAGACTTAGCAGGAGAAATGCCATCGAGCCGGAGGGGAAAGAGATACATTCTGATCATGATCAAGCACGGTAGCAAGTGGGTGGAGGTAAGGGCCTCACCCAGCAAAAACTCCGCCAGGATAGCGGAAGCATTCGCAGAGCAAGTACTCACCAAGTTCGGGGCGTGTGGGGAGGTGCTGACCTACCAAGGGACGAAGTTCATGGGAAATTTTGATAAGCTGCTTTCCTCATATCCAGGCCCTCAGATATCAGCGTAAAACACGCTGATTACGCTGATTTTGTAGCTGTGATTTTCGTTTTCCCTGAAAATTCAGCATGTGCCTCAATTTTGCACTGAAATTTCAGTATAACCTACGTTGCCACACTGACCATTTTGCGTGTTGCTGTACAAGTAACACTGACGAATCAGTATAGTGACGTGAGTCACACTGAAACGGAGTTGACCGCGCGTGTGTCGGGGGGGGGGGGGGGGGGGGGAGGGGGGATGATAGGGTACGTGTGTCCTACCTGTACCTTCCCGTGATTCCTGAGACCCCACTCACACGCTTGGCATTTTTTCGCATGCACTGCACAGATATCAGGTGCGCGCCACTGGAACCTATCACAGCAACAACACCACACACCTTGTACTGGGGTTTCAGCTATAGTTTTTTGTTTTTACACTGTTGGTTCAGTTTACTTATGATTTTTACACTGGCAAAATGAGTATAAAAAAAACAGTGAACGCTTATTTGGACACCTCATTGGCCGGGGCACGCTGATCCATCAGCATACCCTCAAACCAATCTGAGGGCCTGCTCATATCAATTATATAACCACTTATCGTCATACCCCGGATATACCCCCATGGGGGGCAATAAAAAAGCAGGTTTTTTTAGGGGGGTGGGCTTATAATCGAGCAAATTTATAAGCGCCGGCGTTTATAAAATGACATATATATATTTTCTACTTTTTAACACCAAACAGTACATCTCGTGCTTGCCTTTTCAATCGAGTCGAAGTTACGTGGGGTCGTCTGTGAAATTCTCGCGCGCGTAGGGAGATACACCCAATCTGACTCGCATCCAGCTCCTAACAGCTCCTGCTGACTGGACCCGCATCCAGTGCAGGGTCCGAATGTGAAGGGAACCGAATCTGCAGCACATCCGCCTGTTAAAGCAAAAATCGTTACAGCGTTCTGAACACATTTCAAAATATAAAGTTTACGTGCGTTTATAATAAAACAAGTTTTTTCAGGGGGTGCGCTTATAATCAAGCAGGGGATATGAGCGCCACACGCCAATTAAAAGCGCCAGGCGCTTATCCGAGGGTGGCGCTTATATCCGGGGTATGACGGTACCGTAAGTAACTAATAGTGTGTGCTCACAACAATATACACACATGTATATTACATTGTGCAAAGTCCATCTGATCTGACCACGTCACTCAACATACAACGAATTGGCAAACATAATGCCTCTGCGAATGCTCTCACTAGCCTTGGTAAACTTATCTACAAGAGCTTGCTCTCCAATGGCTTGAGCTGCCAGCTTCATCTGCACGTAGAGGAAAAAAGAATGAACATACATAGATTTCAAAGCAATAGCAGGAAGATCAGGCACGAATCGAGAGTGCGCCAATACTAGTCCTTGCAATATAACTACCAGAAAGACATACCTCGTTTAGAAGCTCATCGAGTCGTCGAGCCACACGCACAATCGTTCCTTCAAACACATCCGTGCTGTCTATGACCTTGCCAAATGACTCTCCCTGCACTCCAAGGAACAAACCAAGAAGCCCATTTTGACGGCACAGAGAAACAGAAGAAGTGAAAGAAGCAAACCCAAGCATAAGAAGAGCCTTTAGTGATTGTCCCTCTTCCCTTCATCCTCTTGTTAATCATCCCTCATCCCATCACCTTCACCTTGGACCACTGATGGAACACGTTCACGAGTGTTGGCGGATCGATCCACGTACCCTTTGTCCACCTCTTTCTTCTCCTCAACTTGCACTTGGGACCGCAGTACACCTCTCCTCTTCACCTCCGCACCGCAATCGACCCCTCACCTTGGACCACTGTTACATCTTCATGAGCGTCGGCCGGTATTGATCCACATACTCCTCCTCGTCCACCTCTATCTTCTCCTCTATTTGCACGTAACCACCTCAGTACCACACCAAACTCTTCCTTTTTACCTCCGTACCAAACTGAACCCCTCACCTTGGACCACTGGTAGAACACGCCCATGAGCGTCGGCCGGAATTGATCCACGTACTCCTCCTCGTCCACCTCTATCTTCTCTTCAATCTGCACCCGTGCTATATGCTGCGCTGCTTCCCTTAGGACATTGTAATGCGGCTTCAAGTCCGCTGCCACAGGCTGCAGGGAGGGAGGGTAGAGGTGCAGAGATGGAAGAGGGGGAACCACAGAGCTTCACTTCAGTTATGTGCCGTGCTGCTTCCCTCAGAACATTGTGATGCGGCTATAAGTCAGCCGCCACGGGCTGTAGGGAGGGAGAGAAGGAGGAAGGAGGCAAGAGGGGATGGGGTAAGAGAGCAACAAGGATGAACCCAAAGCCAGCCAGAACAAGGCTCACTCACCATTCCTCATAGTTTGAACTGAGGGAGGATCATTCACTCCCTCATTCCTTCACTCACTCACTCCTTCACTCACTCACTCCTTCACTCATTCATTCACTCACTCACTCACTCACTCACTCACTCATTCACTTACCCACTCACTCACCTGCTTCTTGTTGGACTTCTCAGAGGGAAAGAAGCAGGTAGCCACGGCAACCAGCAAGTACGAGTGCATGGAGTTGAACACCCCCTCACTTGTTCCTGATGGACCGGACAAAGGATCATTTGCTCACCTGCTCCTCGTTGGCCTTCTCAGAGGGCAGGAAGCAGCTGGCAACAGGAAGCAGCTGGCAACAGGAAGCAGCTGGTGGGGTCCATGGAGTTCAAAGCCCCCTCCAGCATCAGCTCATTCGCCTCACATGGACGCAAACTTAAAACAAACAAGGGTTCAATTCCCAGTTTTTTAGGGGCTGAAAACACTCACTTTTTACTCACGGCCCGAGGAATAACCTCCCTTCGTCACCTGCTCCTCGTTGGATTTCTCTGAAGGCAAAAAGCAGCTGGTCACGGCCACGAGCTGGTGGGGGTCCACGGAATGAAAAGCTCCCTCTAGCATCGGCTCCCTCACCAGCAGCTCATCGCCTGTCGAGGGCTTCAGATATCCCATGCAATGGCCTCCAAACTTAGGCCAAAAAAGGGCTCAATACCCAGCTTTTGAGGGGCTGGGCTGAAAAGCACTCATCTGATCCGCATGGTCTGGCCTGAAGCACACTCACCTGCTCCTCATTTGACTTTTCGGAAGGCAAGAAGCAGCTGGCAACAGCAACCAACTGGTGCGGGTCCATGGAATTGAAAGCCCCCTCCAGCATCAGCTCCGTCACCAGCAGCTCATCGCCTGTCGTGACGACACACGCCGCCCGGCCCTTGAGCTGCACCACCCCGTCTGCGTCGATGTGGCCCAGCCGCTTGAGTACCCGTGAGCGGTTCCTCAGCTCGGACTTGAACAGCGAAAGCTGCAGGGGAAGAGAGGCAGGAGAGGGGGAGGTGGGATGATTGAGCACGTATGAGGAACTGACGCACGCCGCCCGCCCCTTGAGCTGCACTGCACCACCCCGTGTGCAGCGATGTGGCCACTGGCGTTTGAGCACGCACGGCGATTGATTCCCGAGTTCAGACTTGAAGAGCGAGAGCTGGGTGGAGGAGGGAACAGGCAGGGAAGGAAACAGGCGAGGAGGATGGGTGGGTGGGGCATGGGGAGATAGGAGGGGAGGGGGGAGGGGAGATGAGGACCCCTTGAGCTGCACCACCCCGTCTGAGTCAATGTGGCCCAGGCGCTACAGAGATTGAGAGTGGTTCCAGAGCTCGGATTTGGAGAGAGAAAGAGAGAGAGCCAGGGAGGAGGAAAGGAAAAGGTGGGAGAAAAAAAGGGTGGGACAAGGTGAAGAGAACCATTCACAAGCACTCCCCTATCAACTCCCTTCTCAAATCCGTTGTGAACTCCTCCCGACATCACAGACGTGCCCACCGCACATCACTCCTCCACACACACCTCCCTCGTTTTCGTCTTGAGCCGCTGTGCCTCTGCCAACAGAGGCTGGTAGGAGCAGCTAACCACATCACACACTTTCCCGCCACATCACACTCCTCCACATGGTCCTGGGACTCCTCCACATGGTCCTGGGATGGGACTCCCTCGACTTCATCTCGAGCCGCTGTGCCTCTGCCAGCAGCTGCTGGTCAGAGAAGCTCAACAAGGCGCCACACCACACCCCTTCTTACCACTCATCACTCCTCCGCACGCACCTGTGACTCCCTTGTCTTCATCTTGAGCCGCTGTGCCTCTGCCAGCAGCTGCCCTCGCCTCTTGAGCACCTCCAGCTTCTGCTCTGCTATCTCCGCCTGAAAGGGGAGAATGGAAGGGGAGTGGAAGAGAGAGGATGGGGGCAGGGAAAAAAAAAAAAAAAAAAAAAAAAAAAAGGTGGGGAGAGAGGGGGTGAGAGGAGGTGGGGAGGGGGGGGGCGGATGTTTACCTCTTCAGCCGGTGCACAGTGCAATGCAATCCAACTCACGGAAGCTGTTAGTGTGACCTGATTGCAAGTGTGACCTGATTGCAAGTGTGACCTGATTGCAAGTGTGACCTGATTGCAAGTGTGACCTGATTGCAAGTGTGACCTGATTGCAAGTGTGACCTGATTGCAAGTGTGCTTTGAGTCGACTCAAAAGACACCGTGAGGGGGTGGGGAGGTGGGGGGGTTCACCTCTTCAGCTTGTGCACAGTGCAATGCAATTCACGGATCCTGTTAGTGTATATAACCTAATTGCAATTCACAGTTTAATGCACTGTGCAATGTCATTCACTTGGCTGACTCCACAAGTGTAACGGCCTAACCTGTTAGTGTAACCTGATCTGCTAGTGAAGCACCTTGAAAAGGGGATGCGTGGCCAGCTTGCTCTCCTCCTGGTCAATGGAGTGGACCAAGTCCAGAAACGACTCGTCCGTGATGCCCATGTCCTGACATGGCGGGAGAGATGGCCAAAGGGTGACAGATGGAGACAGATTTTAGATGTCTCAAACACTCAGTGTGATGTCAGGGAATCGCCGGGTGGCGTCCCTCAGTGTCACCAGCACTGCCTGGCCTCTGGTTGATTTGAGATGCCTCCAACAGCCAGCCCACTCACTTACTCACTACCTCACTCACTCACCTCACTTACCTCCACAGGGTCTAGAATCGGCAGCCCGTCGGGGAAGCGCTGGGTGGCGTCCCTCAGTGTCACCAGCACGGCCTGCCGGCCCTCCTTAGATGAAAGATGCCTCAAATAGCCCATCCAGTCACTCCCTCCCGCCATCCTTCCACTCTCGCACCTCCACACGGTCTAGAATGGGCAGCCCATCAGGGAACTGCTGGGTGATGTCCCTCTGTGCCAGCAGCACGACCTGCCTGGCCTCCTTGGTTTGGGGTGAAGGTGCCCACATACATTCATTCCCTTCCTTCTTCCTCCCTCCATAACTCACCTCCACAGGGTCTGGTCTAGAATGGCAGCCCGTCAGGGAAGCGCTGGGTGGCGTCCCTCAGCGTGACCAGCACGGCCTGCCGGGCCTCTTGGGGCAAAGGTCCGTGGGCAGGGCAAGAGCATATGAGACGCGCTTTAGGGAACTGCCTCTAGCTCGTCTTGCGTTTCAAATGGCTCACTCTCGCACCTCCACACGGTCTAGAATGGGCAGCCCATCAGGAAACCGCTGGGTGACGTCCCTGAGTGTGACCAGCACGGCCTGCCGGCCCTTGATCGATCTGGGGTGTCTAAAACAGCCAACTCATCCACTCAGTTTCTCACTCCCTCACCAACTCATCCACCCACTTACTCCCTCACTCACTCACCTCCACCGGATCTAGAATCGGCAGCCCGTCAGGGAACCGCTGGGTGACGTCCCTGAGTGTGTCCAGCACGGCCTGGCGGGCCTCCTTGGGGCGAAGATCCGTGGGGAGAGCAATCCTGAGCGCCCCTATTCTGGCAACTGCTGGGAGCTTTACAGGGATCTGGAGGGGAAGGATGGCGAGAAGGGGAGCAGGGGAGAGAAGATGAGTCACGGCCCTGAGCTTGGGACCACAACCTGCCTACCGGGCCTCCTTGGGGCGAAGATCCGTCGGCCGGGCGATTCTGAGCGCCCCCATTCTGGCGACTGCTGGTAGGTAACTTGAGTGGGATGTGTGGAGGGGTTGGAGAGGGAGGAGGAGGAATGGCTCATGCATGACTCTGAGCGTCACCAGCACGGCCTGCCGGGCCTCCTTGGGCCGAAGATCCGTGCGCAGGGCGATTCTGAGCGCATAGGCAGGGCGATTCTGAGCGCATAGGCAGGGCGATTCTGAGCGCATAGGCAGGGCGATTCTGAGCGCTCCTATGCGCGGCACTGCTGGGAGCTTGACTTGGATATGGAGTAGTCGGGAGGGGAGGGAGGAAAGGAGGGGAGGGGAGGGAAATAGGAGGGATGAGTGAAGAGAATGAGGACAGGGCAGAGAAAGGCCCAGTCACGTACGAAAGGAAGGCGCTCATTCATGGACAAAGGCCTCATTTAAGTCTGAAGGAGAGAGATGAGATATCTTACGTCTGAGGGAGAGAGGAGATATCTTACGAGTGAGGGAGGAGAGAGGAGATATCTTACGAGTGAGGGACGAAGCCAAGCACAAGCCAGCGCAGGAGAGCACAGCAGCAGCGTGTCCACCAGACCAGATATGCCGAAGTGGCCAGCGGTGCAGCGGTGCTGGCGAGCAGTGCAGTGCCGTGGTGGAGAGCGGTACAGCAGATGGGGAAGGAGAGAGAGAAGCAGCGGCGAGAAGGCATTCCACACCACAGCACACACAAGCCACTCACTCACCACGTGCGTGCATCTCCCCGCCCTTCCAGCGCGCATGGGCGCAGCACAAGCTGAGCAGTGCAGCCCTCGCCTCCTCCATCCACCACCGCGGGAGAGCACAGCAGCAGCGTGACCACCAGGCATGCCGTGGTGGAGAGCGGTGCAGTGGCAGCAGTAGCAGCAGCAGCAGCAGTAGAGGAGGAGTGCCAGTTGAAGGGAGGGAAGGAGAGAGGAGGGAGGGAGAGGGAGGGGGAGAGGGACGAAACCATTCACTCACCACGTGCATCTCCCCGTTGCCTTCCAGCGCGCACCGGCGCGGCACAAGCTGAGCAGTGGAGCCGACCCCTCCTTTATCCGCTTTTCTCTCGTCCGCCACCGCGGGAGAGCACAGCAGCAGCGTGTCCACCAGGTATGCCGTGGTGGAGAGCGGTGGATGAGATTGGGAAGGAGAGAGAGAAAAGCAGCGGCAAGAAGGCACGCACAAGCCACTCACTCACCACGTGCATGTCCCCGTTCCCGTCTAGGGCGCACGGGCGTGGCACAAGTTGGGCAGTGGAGCCGTCCGCTCCTCCACTGTCCACCGCGGGCGAGCACAGCAGCAGCGTGTCCACCAGGTATGCCGTGGTGGAGAGCGGTGCAGCGTCGGCAGCAGAGGCTGTGGGCGAGGGGGCGATGACGGCTGATTTGGTGTTGCTCTGAGAGGGCTGCTTCATCACGTTCACGATCACCCCCCACCCCCAGTCGTCCAGCCCATCCACCACCCGGATCTGCAGGAGAATAAAGGGTTTTGACAGGAACAGAGGGAGAAGAGGCGGTGGGAGAGGGGGCAATGATGGCAGAATTGGTGTTGCTCTGAGAGGGCTGCTTCATCAAGGTGACTAACACTCCCCGCCCCCAATCGTCCAGCCCGTCCACCAGTCGGATGTGCAGGAGAGCCAAGGGCACGGAGTGGGTGAAGGGGCGAGGAGAAGTATGAGTGACATGAGGTATTGCTTTGAGAGGGCTGCTGCATCACGTTCACGATCACTCCCCACCCCCAGTCGTCCAGCCCATCCACCACCCGGATCTGCAGGAGAGTTAAGGTCACGGAGTGGGCAAAGGGGAGAGGCGATGAAAGCAGAGGAGGTGCTGAGGGCTTCATCACGTTGACGATCACCCCCACCCCCAGTCGTCCAGCCCATCCAGAACTCGATCTGCAAGGGAATGAGTGATAATGGTCAGAGTATGGACACAGGGGTGAGGAATGAGTGACACGCGGGGGCGATGAGAGCCGAAGAGGTGTTTCTTTGAGAGGGCTGCTGCATCCCGTTCACGATCACCCCCCACCCCCAGTCGTCCAAACCATCCACCACTCGGATCTGCAGGAGAGTCAAGGGCAAGGAGTGGGTAAAGGGGAGAGGGAAGGAATGAGTGAGTGGCATGAGGAGTTGATGAGAGCCGAGGAAGTGTGGCTTTGAGAGGGCTACTGCATCACGTTCACGATCACTCCCCACCCCCAATCGTCCAACCCATCCACCACTCGGATCTGCAAAGAACAGGGCAAAAAAAAAGGGGGTTGGGAAATGGATAAATGGGTGAAGAGTTAATGCAAATGAGGGGCGATGAGAGCGGAGGAGGTGTTGCTTTGAGAGGCCTTCTTCATAAACGCATGGATTGGATCCTTCTATCCATGCATGCATTCATACGTGCCCCAACGATTGCATCTTCACCAGCTGCCTGGCCCGGCTACAGACAATGCAGGCGTCCAGCAGAAAATGCAGGTGTCCAGCAGAAAATGCAAGCGTCCAGCAGAAAATGCAGGCATCTGTCAGGGCGCAGCACCTCCGCCTTGAGCCGCCTCTCCTTCAATCAAGCACTCACGAGTAACCTACAAACTCCATTCATCAAACACTCACACCAGCCTGCCCTGCCCCATGCTCACCAGCCTACCCGGTTGCAGGAAGTGCAGGCATCGATCAGGCTGCAGCACCTCTGCTTTGGGCAGCCTCTCATGCACCAGCCAAGCTCTCACCAGCCTGCTCACTACACCACCCTGCTCACTACCCTGTCAGTTAACCCGGACACGCTCACCAGTCTCCCCGGCTGCAGGAAGTGCAGGCATCGATCAGGCCGCAGCACCTCTGCTTTGAGCCGCCTCTCCTTCTCCGCCAGGGACAGGCGCAGCGCGTGGTACTCGCGAATCTCGTCCTGCCATCAACAAGGGTAGCAGGGGGGAGGAGCTTCTGAGCTTGTGTAGATTAGAACACTTATTCCAGGCCCCTTAGCGTGTGCGTGGGCAAGGTGACGACATCGGTTTGCAGGGTGGCTACTCGCCTTTTCCTAATTAAAAATTCTCAGAAGCAACAGGCGCGCGCAGAGTGTGGCACGATCACAGATTCTACTCCTCTGTGATTAAACTCCTCCTGTGCTGGCTCTTCTTTCTTCCCTCACGTTTCCCACCCTCACTCCTCTCTCCTCCCATTCTCCTCCTCCCTCCATCTCCCAAGGTCTCACCTCAGTCCCAGCTTCCAGCGCATCGGCCTCTGCCTGCAGCTGCTTGATCCTCTTCTCCACCTCTGGTACTTGCTGGAGGGGGACAAGAAAGGGAAAGAGAAGGGATGTGGAAGAATGCAGGGAGATGAGATGACTATTCTAAAGGAACCTCAAAAAGCATCTGCCTCTGCGTGTAGCTGCTAGATCCTCTTCTCCACCTCTGGTACTTGCTGCAGGATATCAAGAGACAGGGGAAGAGGGTGGGGGGAGAGGGTGAGAACGAAGAAAGGAAAACAGTATGTAAGGAGTCCACCACCTCTGCCTGCAGCTGCTTAATCCTCTTCTCCACCTCTGGTACATGCTGGTGGCGAAAGCGAGGGGAAGAGAATGGATGTGGAAGAATGCAGGGAGATGAGATGACTATTCTAAAGGCGCCTCAAAAAGCATCTGCCTCTGCGTGTAGCTGCTTGGTCCTCTTCTCCAGCTCTGGTACTTGCTGTGGAGATTCAAGGAAAGGGAAGGGGTTGAGAGATTAAAAGAGACAAACATAAATAAAATGGAGCCCCCATATTTTGCCCGTGGGCGCTTGATCCTCTGCTCATCCTAACACAAACACACACACATGCGTGCTCGGCATGCACTTGGGCACACATGCGCGCACGCACACACACACACACACACACACACACACACACACACACACACACACACACACACACACACATAAACACAAGCACGTACCCTGTGGTTTTGAAACTGGTGGAAGGATTGGAGTGGGCGACGACATGTTCGCCATTCACCTGGTGGGCGACGACATGTTCGCCATTCAACTGGTGGGCGACGACATGTTCGCCATTCAACTGGTGGGCGACGACATGTTCGCCATTCAACTGGTGGGCGACGACATGTTCGCCATTCAACTGGTGGGCGACAACATGTTCGCCATCAAATTGCCCCTCAGTCGAGCCATGAAGGGAAGGGGTTGATAACTAACCTGCTGCCCCTGCTACGCTGGGGCACGTAAGCTGTGGTGCAGGGATTGGTGGAAGGAGTGCACAATGACCTGAGGCTCTGCATTGACCTGAGGCTCTGCATTGACCTGCCCCTCCACTCGAGGTGCAGAGAGCAGGTGAGCAGTCACAGTCACCCACTTGCACAAATACCCACCAACCAAGATACTGAGACCCATACTGTGAGACACATACTGTGAGACACATACTGTGAGACACATACTGTGAGACCCATACTGTGAGACACATACTGAGACACATACTGTGAGACACATACTGTGAGACACATACTGTGAGACACATACTGTGAGACCCATACTGTGAGACACATACTGTGAGACACATACTGTGAGACACATACTGTGAGACACATACTGTGAGACACATTCTGTGTGACACATACTGTGAGACACATACTGTGAGACACATACTGTGAGACACATACTGTGAGACACATACTGTGAGACACATACTGTGAGACACATACTGTGAGACACATACTGTGAGACACATACTGTGAGACACATACTGTGAGACACATACTGTGAGACACATACTGTGAGACACATACTGTGAGACACATACTGTGAGACACATACTGTGAGACACATACTGTGAGACACATACTGTGAGACACATACTGTGAGACACATACTGTGAGACACATACTGTGAGACACATACGGAGCCACGCACGTACATACCCTGTCATGCTGAAACTGGTGAAACGAGTGTGCGATGACGTGCTCTGCGTTGAACTGCCCCTCCGCTCGAGCCATGAGGTTCAACAGCGCGTAGTAGGTCAGGCGGAACGAGCTCTCCAAGGGGGCTGGCTTCCCCAGCATCATCTCCTTACACGCTTCCATGGTCATCTGGGGGAGAGGGAGATACGGAAGTGCACAGATTCTGTGCTTTAGAGGGCAGGCAGGGGACAGGAGGACAGGAGCTCTCCAATCCAAGGGGCGGGCTTCCCCAGCAAGCATCATGTCGTTGCACGCCTCCAGGGTCATCTGGGGGAGAGGGATGAAAGTGTGAGGAAGGAAGGAGTCAGACAGACCACGTGTAGCACAAGAAAGACGCTTCTTTCAGTTCAGGCACCTCAAGAGACACACGCGTTCAGAAACGCTTCGAAAGGCACAGAGCGCATGCGTCCAGTCAACCAATATGTCTGGTGAGTATAAACCATGCATGCAGTGAGATATCATGTGCATGGTGACAACGCACAGCACCGTTCTCCACCTCCCATCACCCCTTCTCACCTCCCAACACTCCCCCATCACCCCTTCCCACCTCACCGCACTCCTTATCACCCCTCCTCACCTCCTCATTGACCATCACGATGACAATCCCTTTGCTGTCCTTGCCTCGCCGCCCTGCTCGCCCACTCATCTGACAAGGGTTGGAGGGAGTTTAAGAAGGGGGGGGGGGGGGGGGGGGGGGGGGGGGGGGGGGGGGGGGGGGGGGGGAGGGGAGAGAGCGGAAGGTTTGAGGCACCTCAAGCTGTTTCCACCCGCTCGTCAAGGCATCTGGTTGTAAGTGGGAAACGGGACAGGGCCTAAAAAACAAGTTGGAGTTTCGCTTTAGGGTTTGGTTGAACACACAAACACACACACACACACACACACACACACACACACACACACACACACACACACACACACACACACACATCTAGAGAATGGATCAATCCCCTGCACCAGGTTTTAAGGCGCCAAAAGCACGAATTATGAGACGAGCTATTAAGGTCCCATACGCGTTGCCGCACGCACCCGTGCAAGCACACACGCACACGGTCACTAACGCACTCGCACCCACCTGGATGCATTCCCTGAGTGCAAAGCTTGGTTGGCCTCCCACCCCACTTGCGTGTGGCTGTGACGAGCAAAAGAACGCTCACATGCTTTACTAGACAGGTTGGCGGTGGGGGTGGGGGAGTTCAGTCACCCACACATACCGACCTGGATATACTCCTCTGAGTGCATGGCTCGGTTGGCCTCGCCATCCCACTCGTGTGTGGCTGTGAAGACCACAGTGGAGTGCAGGCGAGGCTACGCAAATGACGCACGTCGTACGCTTCCATGCTTGGGAGGGCCGAAATCCCCCCCACCTCCCTCCCCCCTCCCGCCAATCCCTTGCATCACATCCACCCACCTGAATGTATTCCCCCGAGTGCATGGCTCGGTTGGCCTCGCCATCCCACTTGTGCGTGGCTGTGAAGACCACAGTGGAGTGCAGGCAAGGCAGGAGATACAAAGCACGCTCACATGCTTCAATAGATGGGTCAAACCCTCCAAACCCCCCCCCCACCCATCACGTCACATCCACCCACCCACCTGGATATACTCCCCCGAGTGCATGGCCCGGTTGGCCTCGCCATCCCACTTGTGCGTGGCTGTGAAGACCACGGTGCGAGCCGGCATGTTGAGACCCATGGCGAACTGGAGAGGGGTTGGCATGAGGAGGATGCGAAGGGAGACGATCCATTGGGCTGAGTTGCGTTGAGTGCACGGCCTCGTTCTACTCCATCCATCCCACCTGCGCGTGGCTCTCAAGACCACAGTACGTGCTGCCATGTTTAATTCAGAACCATGGTGAAATGGCGAGGGTTTCAGAGGAGTGGGGATGGGTGGACAAGGGGGGTTTGTTTGTGATCCAGCATAAGGACGGCGCGTGGGGAACGGTGTGGTTAGGCTGTGATGGGTTGCTCTGTGATGGGTTGCTCTGTGATGGGTTGCTCTGTGATGGGTTGCTCTGTGATGGGTTGCTCTGTGATGGGTTGCTCTGTGATGGGTTGCTCTGTGATGGGTTGCTCTGTGATGGGTTGCTCTGTGATGGGTTGCTCTGTGATGGGTTGCTCTGTGATGGGTTGCTCTGTGATGGGTTGCTCTGTGATGGGTTGCTCTGTGATGGGTTGCTCTGTGATGGGTTGCTCTGTGATGGGTTGCTCTGTGATGGGTTGCTCTGTGATGGGTTGCTCTGTGATGGGTTGCTCTGTGATGGGTTGCTCTGTGATGGGTTGCTCTGTGATGGGTTGCTCTGTGATGGGTTGCTCTGTTGGCCGTCCCACTTGTGTGTTCCCGCCCCGTGGAAACAAGCGTGCTGGCAAGTTGAGCCCCGAGTGGTACACTCCCACGCGCCTCAACACGCGCCTTCTTGGAAGAGGATTTCAATGAGCTCCTTGAGAATGGGCAGCAGCCCGGAGTGGTGCACTGCATGACCACGCCCCTCACACGCGCCTCGCGACCAGACCAGCAAGCAGCACTTACAGTTTCAGTGGCGAAGAGCACTTTGAGAAGCCCTTCTTGAAAGAGGATTTCTATGAGCTCCTTGAGAATGGGCAGCAGCCCCGAGTGGTGCACGCCCACGCCCCTCTGCAGCAGCGGCAGCATCTGGCGCACTGCTGGGAGGTCCTGGTCTTCTGTGGGGAGCACTGATATGGCGTTGTTGAATACCTGGAACACGGGGAGACGGGTGCAGCAAGGGAGGCGGAGGGGGGGGAGGAGAGGTGGATGAGTAAGCAGCAACAACAGCAGCCCCGAATGGTGCACTCCCACTCCCCTCTGCAGCAGCGGCGGCGCAGCGCTGGCATGTCTTGATCCTCTGATGGAAGGACGGAGATTGCATTGTTGCACACCTGGAAGAAGGGGGATTGCAGGCAATACGGGGAGTGAGCAAGACAGGGAGAGCAGCAGCAGCAGCTCCGAGTGGTGTACCCCCACGCCCCTCTGCAGCAAAGGGGGCATCTGCCGCTCTGCTGGGAGATGGTGATCTTCAGTAGGGAGGACCGAAATGCCATTGTTGAACACCTGAATGGGGGGAGATGCAGGGAAAAGGGAGAGCAGTGGGTGCAATGGGGGGGAGCGAGAAAGACTGCAGCAGCAGCCCTGAATGGTGCACTTCCGCGCCCCTCTGCTGCAGCAACAGCAGCATGTGGCGCACTGCTGCGAGATGCTGACCTTTCGGTGGGGACAACTGAGATAGGGTTGTTGAACACCTGGAAGAGGGATGTGGAGGCAGCGAAAGGGAGACGGGAGCTGCTGTGGGTGCAAGGCCTAAACGGATCATTGATACCCGTCCCGAGTACGGGTTGACCGACCCGGCACGGGTCACAATCGACCCGATCCGTTACATGTATAGACGGGACGGGTCACTAGCATAGACAGGTTAGCGACCCGCTGATCGACCTGGCCCGTACCCGTTGCCCATGTCTAGCTGCCCATGTCTATCTGCCCATGTCTAGCTGCCCATGTCTAGCTGCCCATGTCTAGCTGCCCATGTCTAGCTGCCCATGTCTAGTTGCCCATGTCTAGCTGCCCATGTCTAGCTGCCCATGTCTAGCTGCCCATGTCTAGCTGCCCATGTCTAGCTGCCCATGTCTAGCTGCCCATGTCTAGCTGCCCATGTCTAGCTGCCCATGTCTAGCTGCCCATGTCTAGCTGCCCATGTCTAGCTGCCCATGTCTAGCTGCCCATGTCTAGCTCACCCCACTCCTCAACTCCTTGCACCGCTCCTCACCTCTTTCACCATCTTGCTCTCCTCCTCACTGTTTGAGTCCAGCTACCTCAGCTGCACAGCACGGCGTACGCCTCACACTCGCCGCACTCCATTCCTGTTCACTGCCCCCTCTCCAACTAACCAGTCCAACCTAAGACCTGCCAGCACAACTCCCCAGCACTTTCCACCCCTCCTCACCCTCTCGCACCGCTCCTCACCTCTTTCACCATCTTGCTCTCCTCCTCGCTGTTGAAGTCCAGCTTGCTCAGCTGCATGGCGTACGCCTCACACTCGCGCCGGCGGAAGCTGAAGACGATCATTGGATGGAAGTCCAGCTCGGAACAGGTCTGGCAAGAGAGGGGAGGGGTTCAGGTTCAAGAGAGGGGAGGGGTTCAGGTTCAAGAGAGAGGAGGGGTTCAGGTTCAAGAGAGGGGAGGGGTTCAGGTTCAAGAGAGGGGAGGGGTTCAGGTTCAAGAGAGGGGAGGGGTTCAGGTTCAAGAGAGAGGAGGGGTTCAGGTTCAAGAGAGGGGAGGGGTTCAGGTTCAAGAGAGGGGAGGGGTTCAGGTTCAAGAGAGGGGAGGGGTTCAGGTTCAAGAGAGGGGAGGGGTTCAGGTTCAAGAGAGAGGAGGGGTTCAGGTTCAAGAGAGGGGAGGGGTTCAGGTTCAAGAGAGGGGAGGGGTTCAGGTTCAAGAGAGGGGAGGGGTTCAGGTTCAAGAGAGGGGAGGGGTTCAGGTTCAAGAGAGGGGAGGGGTTCAGGTTCAAGAGTGGAGAGGGTGGAGAGAGAGTGAGGGTAGGGAAGCTGAAGAGGATCAGCTCGGAACAGGTCTGGCAAGGGATGCTAGGGGGAGTGATGGCGAGGAGAGGAGAGGACAGGAGAGGACAGGAGAGGAGAGGAGAGGAGAGGAGAGGAGATGAGAGGAGAGGAGGGGAGTGGAGAGGAGAGGAAAAAAAGGTGGAGGGCAAGAAACAGCGGAAGCTTAAGAGGATTACGGGATGGAAGCCCGGCTCGGAACAGGTCCGGAAAACAAAGAAGGAGAATAAGTGGGAGAAGGGGAGAAGGGGAGAAAGGAGAAGAGGGTGGGAAGAGAAGAGAAGAGAGGAAAGACTCACCTTCACTATCTTGTAGATATCCGAAGGCCCTCCGCCTGCACCTCTCCCTCCTTCCCCTCCTCTCCCTCCTCTTCCTCCTCTCCCTACCCTCCCCCCCCCTCCCTCTCCCTCTCCCAGCAAACCCAGCAGCTTCTGGAATCGCGTCCGCCGCCGCCTCTTTCGCTTTAGCGAAACTCTTAGCTAAGCGGTTGAAATTCTTCTCAATGAACTTCCCCTGCTCGTTCACCATAAGATAAAGCCCATCCCCGCCATACGGAAACGCAAAATGCTGCAAGGGAGTCGGCCGGTAATCCGTATACACCACGTGACACGGCTGCTTATGCAGATATGTAATCCACTCGACAAACTCCCGCGCGTTCGACAGCGTAGCCGACAAAAACACCATTTTCACATCCGGAGGAAGGAAAATAATACTCTCTTCCCACACCACGCCCCGTTCCCGGTCCCGCATGTAGTGAATCTCGTCGAATATCACCCAAGCCACCTCCCGAAGCACTTCTGAGCCTCGGTAGAGCATGGAACGAAGAATTTCGGTGGTCATGACGATGCAGGCTGCGTTGGGAGCGATGGTGACATCACCCGTCATCAGCCCCACGTCACTGAACTCCTCGCTCAGCTCGCGGTACTTCTGGTTGCTCAGAGCCTGCAGTGTATGTGGGGAGGGGGGGAGGAGGGCAGAGGGGCTCGACTTGGTTCCTGGGTTTCCAAAGTGGAGAAGGAATTGGGGTGGAGAAGGGTGGGGAGAACAAAGAGGGGAATGAACAGGGAAAGACGGGGCCGACCTGATTACCACCGTAAGCCCCTCAACCCTCAACCCAAAAACCTCAAACTCAAACTCCCTCAACTTTCTACCCTCAAACCTGGAAACAAAAGCATCAAACCCAATGTCAGAACTGCAACAAGGTCACAAGCACCCTTCTTCTCTTAGAAAGCAGCGGCGATTTACGTTTACTAAGGAGCCAACCAACCTTAGAAACGACCTACCTTGAGAGGGGACGTGTAAATGACCCTCTGCTTGTCGCGAAACGCCATCGCGATTGCATACTCCGCAACGGCAGTCTTTCCCGCCGACGTGTGCGCTGCCACGAGCACGGACTCGCGCCGCTCCAAGCACGCTACCGAGGTTGCTTGAAACGGGTCCAACTCAAACGGGTATGTTTTCGCCATCGGGCCATTGTAAACCGGCGAGTCGATCGTCCCGTGCACTGATTGGTCGAGAGAAGACGTGAAATTCGGAGGAAGCGCCACGTCATGGACACATGTCTTTTCGGTCTGCTTTGCTGGCTGCGGCTCGATTGGAGATGATTTCTTAGCCTTTGAATCTGCGGGCTTCCCGTCCGAATTTAATCCTGGATTCGGATTCGATCCTAGATTTGATTCGGGTGTCGATTGCGGTTGTTCCTGTCTGTTAGACCCGTCACCAGTAGCAGCACCAACGGTGGCGGCGGCGTCGGCGGTTTCCTTCACTTCGCCCTCGTACTTACGTTTACCCGACGGACCTGCCATGGTGTAAGGAAGCGAAACGTAACTGACTAGCGACGGTCTTGTTCAACGAGTATGCGATGCTAGAGAATATGCGTAAGGGCGTGTCACGTTGGGGCTGGGAAGCCCAAATTCGAACAACTGTATGTTTGTAAGGAATTTTCTCGACATTCCTTAGCGCATCCTGCAGCATCACCAACGGGGCTTCGTCAACTTCGCGCGCACTGTTTCACCAAACCATGCACCGCTGGCCCAGCCGTGTCGGCCTACACCTAGTCCGCGGTATTTTAACCAGGTGAACTTTGTTCTTTCAAACCCCCTTTGTTCGTTTCTGGGTAATGTTATTAGCACCCAGAGTCATCGAGACTACGATTCTGCAGCCGAAAGCACTTCCGTCTAAGGAACTCACACTTAGTGCTCCAAGATAGACGGATTGACATTTGTCACACTCGGCATTAACTGAGTTTTTTCTGCTGTCATCTCGCGAAGGGAATGCTAGATTCTACCCTCGTAAATTTTGAAACAACCCGACTGAATAATTTTGATAAAGGAGAAGTACCCTCGCGTGGTTAAGATAGCGCCGGTTAAAATACCGCGGACTAGGTGTACGCTTCAGGACTAGCCCGAGCCTCGTTGCCAGCGTAGCACTAGCTAGCTCGCATGCACCGCGTTACCGTTTGCATGTTTCGCGTATAAATGTTCGCTCATGCCTTCGCTCACATTTTGTACTCGTTTGACACTTAGTACAATCCTCGCTACCTCGATTCATTGCACCCGTAACACTTGGTATTAAGAGCCTCTTTCTTTCGGACCGCGCATCTTCACACCCTAGGAAATCAACTTTTGATTTTTCACTCGAAGGGACTCACGCACCTTAGCCCCTAGGAGCCGTTGTCCTCGCGTTCTCTCGTAAACGCGTACAGCCACGACTGCGCCTAGACTAAGACGAGCCGACACCCTTCGTAATGGCCGAGCACATCGACGTCACCACCCTCACACAGGAGCACCTGAGCAAACTGCTGCGGCAACTTCGCGAAAACTCTGAAGAAATCGCGGAGCTGACGGCAGAACACACGTCCATGCAAAATGACGTCGCACGAGCACAACAAGCACAATCTCAAGCATCCGGCACTCCGGTACAGCCCGCACAACAGACATCACAACACGGGAGCGTGGGCAACCCGCGAGCGCGGCTAGTGATGGCGTCGTCCGCCACGACGGAGACGACGACCACGGCGCGACACACCCCGAGGCGACGAATGCGGCACGAAGCCAGCCACGCGTTACGATTTCGGCACCGATCAACAATTCGGCACTGCCGTCACCGATGCCGCTGAAGCCGCAGCGTCCGCCATGCTTCGACCCAAGTCAACGGGGTGTTATAGTGCGGGCCCCCCACGGGCCTTAGTTCGTCCCGAAACGTGGCCCCCCGTGGCCCTTCGTCCGTCCCATAGCCCCCCCCTCCCCCCCCCCCCCCCCCTTCCACGAACCTTAGTTCGTCCCGTAGCGCGGCCCCCGCGGGTTCTTCGTCCGCTTCGTTTCGCGACCCCCTCCCGCCGTCCTTCGTCCGCCCCGTAGCGTGCCCTCCCCCCCCCCCTCGCGGGCCTTAGGTCGTCCCGTAGCGCGGCCCCCCGTGGGCCATCGTCCGTCCCGTAGCGCGGCCGCCCTCGCGGACCCTTCGTCTGTCCCGTAGCGCAGCCCTCCGCGGGCCCTTTGTCCGTCCCGTAGCCCCCCCCCCCCCCCTCGCGGGACTTGCGCTCGTCCCGTAGTGCGGCCCCCGCGGGAATTCCCGTCGACCCTAACCCTAGCTCCCGTCGCCCGTCGCATGTCACCCGTTGCTTGTAGCTCCTACCCGCGTGCTCCCCGCAAGGCCAAGAAGCATGCAGCCGCGCCCACACAAGCCGTGCACCTTCAGCCGCGCCCACACAAGCCGTGCACCTTCAGCCGCGCCAGCACTAGCTTAGGCTGTCCTACCACTCGTACTTCCGCCTCGATAGGCCCTTACCCCCTCGCGTACTAGCGTGCCATGTCGATGTGCCGACAGCGGCAGCAGCAGCCGTGGCTGCATCAGCAGCAGTGGCAGCGGCACCGACGGCCGCAGCAGCAGCTGTGGTCGCAGCAGTAGTGGCCGCAGCAGCAGCAGTGGCCGTTGCAGCAGCAGCGGCAGTAGCACCGGTGGCCGCCGCAGCAGCAGTGGCGGGTTCAGCTGCAGCGCCTGCGGCAGCCTCCACCGCGGGGCTCTGTCGGACCCGGCCAGTACACACACTGGTACGTAAGAGCTGCGGCTGCTATGAAGACTTGTGCTTCTAGTCTTGGTGCGTATTTAATTTCCGATCCAGGCGCTCCTTAGTGTAGGAGCTGCAGCCACCACTAGTCAAGTACCAGCCTTAGTCGCTAGCTCGGGTGCGACCTCATCGATTGCACATCTTTCCTTCACCCTAGACTCTGGAGCATCTGGCTGTTTCTTTCGCGACAGCATCGACCTCACGCCACTGCACGCTCCAGTCACTGTCGTCTTGGCCGACCCCCCTGTGGGACCTGTAGTTGCCCACAGCACCACCACTCCCCCGTGTCCGGCGGTTCCCTCTGGGTTTCTCACAAGTTACTACACCCCCTCATTCTCTAGGAACTTGGTTGGTGTCGGTCACCTCCAGGATCTCGGAGTTGTCACCACTTTCCCTCTTGACAAGCTTGTTGCCTCCTGCACAGGCGGTGCCGCTGGGGCACCACTGGCCACTTTTCACAAGGAGCCAGGCTCTCGTCTGTACTCCTTACACACTGGGTCAGGTCAGGTCACGTCAGGTAGCTGCTGTGTCGTGCGGCTGTCGGTCACTCACCCACCCCTCGGTCCTCTGGCACCACCGTCTAGGGCACCCATCCTTCCCGTCGAGGGTTGGCAGCGCGCTGCTCCTCACTCCTCCTCGTTCTCCCCCACCACAGCTCCCTTACAGACCCCGCACTTGGACGTCTGTGGACCCTCCCCGGTCCTTGGCCCACGTCAGGAGCGCTACTTCCTGATTGTGGAGGACGACTACTCCCGCTACACCACGATTTTACCCTTGCAATGGAAGGCCGAAGTACCTACCGTCCTCGAGCCGTGGCAACTAGCGAGGGGTGGCGCTCCGGGCCTTTGTGGGCTCCGCCTGCACTCAGACCGTGGTGGTGAGTTTTCTTCGACTCGCCTAGAGACGTTCTGCTAGGGCCAGGGGATCATCCAGTCTTACACGCTACCAGCCTCGCCTTAGCAGAATGGGGTAGCCGAGCGACGCATCGGCCTGGTCATGGAGGTTGCTCGGACCTCCATGTGCCATGTCGGTGCCCCCCAGTTCTTGTTGCCTCACGCAGTCCACTACGCCCCGCACCAACTGAACCTGCGGCCTAGTGACGCTCGGCCACGGGTGACGCCGGTCGCCCTTTGGACGGGTTCTCCGGGTGTAGCAGCTGACTACTGCGTCTGGGGTTCCCTGGCCCACGTTCGTGCTCTTGGCGCAAACAAGTGGTCTCCGCGCACTCATGACTGCGTCTTTCTTGGCTTCGCACTCGACGCCTCTGGTTGGAAGTTCTATGGTCCAATTAGTTACCAGTTCTTCTTAGGATGCCACTTTTTACTAGTCGGTCAGTTACTACAGAAGTCGCCCCCATCGAGGTTCTGAGAACTTCCCCCCCCCCCCCCCCCCCCTCCCCTTGTTCCTCACCCTTGAGCCCCCCCCCCCCCCCCCCCCCCGTCGTCCCAGTAGCTCCCCCCCCTTCGCGTCCTGCCCCATCAGGTGTGTCACACGTCACTCCGCAGTCTTCTCCCCTGCAGCGTCCAGTCCGTGTCGTGCTTGGGGGTGCGGGAGGTGCAGCTGCGGGGGGTGAGGGTACTGGGGCTGCTGAAGCTCGTGGTTCGACTCTGGAGGTGCAGGGGGTGTGGGTGTGGAGGCCCCTCCTGTGGAGGACACGGCTGCCTTTAGTCGGCGGCCTCGTCCGGCCTCACCCTCTGGCTTCCCGTCAGTTCCTCAGTTCCCTTCTCGTTCGCCTTCGCGGCCGGTCGCTGCGGAGTCTGGGGGTGTTCCTGCCGGAGGTACTGGAGGCCTTGAGGGTGATGGCGGTGGAGGTTCTGGTTCTGGGGGTGCTGGAGCTGGAGGCACTCGCGCCTCGGTGCCTACCCCGCGCACTGTAATTTTCCTGACACGTGAGCAAAGTCTTCTTCGTTTGGAGAGGGAGGAACAGGAGCGGTTCGAGAGTACACGGCAGCAGCAGTAGAAGCAGCACAAGCAGCACCAGTCTCACTCAGAGCGTCCGGAGAGAGTAGAGGAGGAGTTACAGCCGCATCAGGATAGAGGAGAGGAGGAGTCACAGCCGCACAAGGAGAGAGTAGAGGAGGAGTCACGGCCGCAGCAGCAGGTGCGGTTGCAGCCACACCTAGAGAGAGTAGCGGAGGAGTCCTGGCCACAGCAGCAGGTGCAGTTGCGGCCGCAGCAAGAGAGGGTAGAGGAGGAGTCTTAGCAGCAGCAGCAGCAGCAGCAGGTGCAGTTGCAGCCGCAGCGGGAGAGGGTAGAGAAGTCACGGCCACAGCAACTGGTGTAGTTGCAGCCGCAGTAGGAGAGGGCAGAGGAGGAGCCACACCTGGAGCAGCAGGAGCAGCAGCAGGGGCAGGTGTCGCCGCAGCAGACGCCGGAAGAGGCGGAGCAGTAGCGACTGAGAGACCTGCCCGACCCGGCACCTACATGCATGCTTGGTCCGTGTTCGTCTACCGCCCCTCCTATTCCCCCTGTCCAGTCACTTGCCTCGTCCCCGTGGACTCGTCGCTCTCCTCTCGGTCGTGCTGTATCTCCAGAGCCTCGTCGGTCTCGTTACCGAGCTGACGACCCGTTTCATCTTGTTCTCCGCTCTCCTATTCCACCTCCTCCAGTCCTTCTACAGCCTCCTGAGTCATCCCTTACTGAATTCCCGACCCACTGTCCGACTACCTCCGTGCCTCCCGTCCTATCGTTTCCAATTATTTGTCGTCATTGGTCACTCACCCGACTACCCCCCCGCTG